GGGTTTGTTGGCTACCACACGAAGCAGTACCACCTCAACCTATCCCTCATAACATGTAACATATAACATAAGTACTAAGCACGCAATAATCATATAACATCATCAGGTAGTCCTACAAATCTACCTAACTGGAATAAACACTAACATGCAATACTAACTCATACTCAACATCTAATACTGCTTGGATAACATATCAAAAGGGCCGGCCTTGGTACCTTAGACCCTTAGTATAGTGAGGATAACTCACCTCGTAGATGTCAGCTCGGTAAGCAATCAAAGCTCTCCGATCACTTGCCAAAGACTCCACCACCTATTACCATAATGTGACATGCTCATAAGTCCTTCACCTTATAAGGCGCTCCATAACCCACTAGCTAACCCCTGGTCATAGTCAAATTCCCCAGTCAAGGTCAACAGTCCATGTTGAACTTAACTCACCGAGTACCCTTGGGTACTCACCGAGTTCTCTGAAGCACAATCCAACTCCCCGAGTCATCGGGACGAGTCGTCGAGTTCCTTCGAATCTCGATCAGCCCTTAAGGCCACCCGTTGAGTTCCCTCCTCGAACTCGATGGATATACATGCAAATGTGTCTTGGTTAAAATTCATTCGACTCACCGAGTTGTTCTTCAACTCGTCTAGTCTTATGGTCATCTTCATTGGACTCAACGAGTTGTTCAACCAACTCGTCGAGTTCACGTCCATCTTCATGTGACCCATCGAGTCAACTTTGCGACTTGCCAAGTCCATTCAGTCATTTTATCATGCAGACAACTTTTAAGCCATGGCAAGGCCCCAAATTGTAGATCCAACCTCCTTAGGCCTGCTTATCACGTAAAGTTGCAAACTTTACGTGCATGTAACGCTCCAATGTCTCAAAAAGCACAACTATGCTTGAAATGGGGTTCTACACATACGGAGGGCCTCAAACTTTCCAAAGCTAATAACTTTACGGTCTCTCAATTGACAGAGAGTTCAAATATGAAGTTATAACTTCAGATCTTGGCTCATACTCCAGAAAATGACTTTATAACCCAACCAAGAGCCCTAATTTCTAACCAAGGAGGTCTAGAACGAAATAGAAAGGAGGATAACAGCTTGATACCTTCCCAAGAGATGAAAAATGGGGTAGATCCGGATCACCCCAAGCTTATTGCTTCAAACAACTTGCTTCCCAAGCTCTTTTCACCAAAATCCTCTTCCAAGGCTTCAAACACACAATGGGCGCACACACACACATATTAGGGTTTGATAAAAGACTGCAATGAGGCTGAAAGAGGTTTGTGTTCCCTTAAATAGGGTGCTCAACCTCGGGATTTAGGGTTTCAGCTGCCAGCTCCTACTCGCCGAGTCCTATTATGGACTCGTCGAGTAGGTCACTTAACTCGCAAGCATTCTTGCTGCTACTCGACGAGTAGATCAACTGACTCATCGAGTAGGGCTTAACCCAATAACTCATATTTAGACCATACCTGAGAATCGGGGCGTTACAATACTAAAGTTCAACAATTTCCTTGCAAACTTCCTTCATACTTAGGGGACACTCTTCCACACTCATCTTTCTGATAATATATGTATTTTTATAGTCAATATAATGTTGATGAGGGCACGAGTTTTTATGTTTGAATTCCTTTAAGAATACATTTTTTTTTGTGAAAACATGTCTTATTTATTTACCAAGCCTTCTATCTTTTAGGGTATCTTATATTAATCTTAAATTACTATCTTTTCGGGATATCTAACGATCATAACATAATTTAATTAGGATTATCTTTTGTTAACCCTAATTTACTATCTTTTAAGGATTTATAATGATCCTAACGTATTTTGATTACCATACTAGGCATCCCTATTGGTAATCTAAGCTCTAAGGCAAATTTTAATGTATTAACGTGAGCCCCTATAATCGACGCTACCACCATAAATCTACCCGTAATTACGACACTTCATCTGAAGTTGAATAGTAATTTATATTGAAGGTATCCTGTCGGGGTTGTCGCAAGCAATCATAGGTGGAGTTGTCATGGCCTCGTATTGATCTATACATAACTTCCTAGCTCTCGCAAGATTAATGATTATAGGTATTAGGGATATGCCAAATTTAATCAAGTCTTTTGGATGAGTAACCAACTCACTAACACATTAACCGTAGGCTTTTATCTTTTATCTTTATCATAATTACCCCTATATATATCTAAATACATCACACTATCTTTGTATGTACCTCTCAAGGTATATATCCTCAATGATTTCCGTATATATATATATATATATATATATATATATATATATGTATGTATGTATACTTTTTATCGTACATATATATATTTTATAATTATATTTATGATCTCATAATTCTATGACATAAATCGTCATATATATATATATATACACACACACACACACACACACCATAATTATGGTTATTCTAACAGAACATTTGGGCGACATAACAACTAAGTATAGTGCATATCCTAAATCTTGTCTAGCATAACTTCTATATATTAACGTTTCCTAGGGATCTGGCCATTATAAAATCTAGGTAATACATTCTCCTACATTATCATGCATCATATCCTTTAGACACAAATGATAACTTTAATATAGGCATATTATCTACAGTTATACTATCCTATGACATCTAGCTTATTATAAAATGACTTAAATTTTATAAAATAAATATTTTATAAAATCATTTGTTAGGGATGTATTTCCTTCCTGAAAACATTTTAAAACAGTAAAATAGGGGTCATGAACTCACTCTATGGTTTGAAAACATTGATGAAGGGTATAGACTGGCTCGGAAATCTAGGGATCGCTCCACAAGGTAACACACAAACTAGAGAGAAGGAGAGGAGTATTTCGAAGGTGTGCGGCGCTGAATGGCACAACCCTTCTATTTATAGGCGAGTTTTAGGGGTGCGTGTCGTGTGTTTCCTATGTGTGGTGTGCATTCGAACATTGTGGCTCCACAGGATGTTTCCACATGTCCCCACCCTACTCAACCACATCACTTGCAATCTAGTCGAATACGGTGTCAAGTGCGCGGCATGTGGTGGCACGCACTTGACGCGTAAATAAAGATTTTTCAAAAATCACTACTTCCTCGTGTGTGCTCTAATTTAAATGCTCTCTACATATATGTGACAATCTCAATGGGTACCACAACTTTCCTTTGGTTTCTTTGGCTGATTTTCACTTTCATTTTCTAGCCCAACAGGGGTAAGAATTAATGATTTTATAAAAATCATAACTTACTCATATGGATCGCATTTTCGACAAACTTTTTCCTAAAGTTTCTATCTCCATGTGTACTACAAAACTTCCTTTTGAACTTTTAATCAAAACTCAACCAATTTCTAAGTACCCATTTGACGTAATTAATTTTAACATGCCACTGATTTTTATATCTTATAAAATTTATATCTCCATCATATGAACTCGGATTTTTACGAAGGAAGATGCGTACTTTCAAAGTATTATATATATATATATATATATATATATATATATATATATATATATATATATATATATATATATATATATAATTGGCGTTGGTCACTTTTCGTAAATATCAATCGGTGTCAACAGTCGCAATTGTTACATTCTCCCATGTTTAAGGAATGTCGTCCCCAAAATTCAACTAGGAGTGTTTGACGCGAAGACAATATTAGGAGAATAACGAGAGTATATTTTTAATCATTATTAGTCATCCTTCTATTTTGTTCTACCGATTGTAAATTGAATCTCAAGATATTTGAACTAATGTTAATGATTAATATTTTATTTTATAAACAATCTCCCATCATTTACAATAGTCGTGATTATTATTTTATCTTATTACCTATCATTAGGGTACTTCCCTTAGATATCAATGTTTTAATTTTATAAAAAATCACATATCATTTATAATAGTTGTGATTATTATTCCATCAATCAATTATTTACTGATGTCTTGAGGGGAGAGATTACTTACTAATACTTTAGAGTGAGAGTGATCTCTCAGTTAAGTACTCACTGATACCAAAAGTGAAAGTAAGAGTTGTCTCTTAGTCAAGTACTTACTGATGCCAAGAGTGAGAGTGAGAGTGATGCCTCAGTCAAAAACTTACTGATACTAAGAGTGAGAGTGATAGTGATCCCTTAGACGAGTATTTATTGATGCCAAGAGTGAGAGTGAGAGTGATCCATCAGTCAAGTACTTACTGATAGCAAGAGTGAGAGTGAGAGTGATCCCTTAGTCAAGTACTTGATGATACCATGAGTAAGAGTGAGAGTGCTCCCTCAGTCAACTACTTACTGATACCAAGAGTGAGAGTCAGAGTGATCCCTCAGTCAAGTACTTACTAATACAAAGATTGAGAGTGTCTATAATAACTGAAATATTTCTTAATAATTCTTTTCAGAATTTTCAGAGGATCCTAGCGTTACCACAAGGATTTTTTCCTTTCATTATCATTCGTTCTAGTTTTATCTAATTATCTGGTGAATACTATCACATGATGCTAAAAATTAGACAGTTTTTCGACTGTATGATTTCCCCTATTACGGTTGGATTCAGGCGAAAACCACACAATAGTATCCTTCCTATAATTAATAACATGCGTTTCTTAGATTTATATTTTTACGTGTTTTTATCTAATTTTCATATAACTATATCATTATCTAGCTTACTCGTAAGTTATAAGGAAGGACTTGATAATTCTTAGGGAAAGATTGTAGGCAGCGTCCCTCGTGCCAATGAAAAATGTTCTTCCTTGATCATTACCCCCTTTGATTTTCCAACCTTGGTCATTCTCTTTTGAAGTGGCGTGCTTTTCCACATCCATAACAATTGCAATTCGTGCCAATACCAATTCCTTGGGTAGTGGCGAGTGTCAGACTCCTACAAGACTTAGTTGTGTGGACCTTCTTAGTCAATTATTACATATTAGCTCTCTACATGCACTTATATGATGGTAATTGCACTTATTGCATAATGGGAGATCTATTGCATACTACCTTAAAGGAGTGGGTGACGAAATGTTTGCTACAAAGATTTTCCCCAAGTCTTGTTCCTTCCATGCTACTTGCTCTAAATTTTCATCTGGATTTCTTTTGATATTTTCTGATCCTATGAGATCAGTATTTAGAACCATGGTGCCGTGGTAGATTACCTGAATGGTCAAGGTAAAGGTTAGTCCCTTGGCATTATCCTCAATAGTTGGCATGTAAGCCGTAGCCAATCCTTGGATAGGCTGAATTAAACCCCATATGTACCTCTCTATCTTCTTCTCCTCTGGGGTAACCATCCCATGAAACAAGGTGGATAGGTCATTTAAACGACTTGTATATGTGGCAATATTCGCTTTCTGCATCATTAGATTCCACAGATCCTGCTCCATTTTCTACACCTCCTCGCGTGGACACTATTCTGTAATCATGAGTTGCTTCAAGTCATCCTAAGACATGGAGTTAACTATGTTTACACCCATGGTCTTGGTGTAAACGTTCCACCAGCTCAAGGTTGTATATGTCAGGGTGAGGCAGCGAACTTGACTTTACAGTCCTCTGGGCAGAAACTAATCTCAAAGACTGATTCCATCTTCTCTATCCACCTAGTCAGCCTAATAATACACTCATTTTCACGGAAGGGTTTTGTCTTAGAGTTCAAAAAATCCTTATATGAACAGACTATAGTGGAAAATTGATTATCTCCTAGCGGAATCTTGCCTCCATTTCCTCCCGATCCTACATTCCTAGGGGTTTCTAGACTCGCTATGACATCAACTACACGTTGGGCGATCAATGCCTCAATCGCGGCTAAGCTGATTTGCTCAGGATTTTTTTTAGGTGTTCCTGGCTTACGTCTAGTACGAGGCATGATTCTAAATTTAACATAAGAGTTATTTGTTATTTTATCTTGCTAAGTTAGAAGGGTTAACTTATTTAAAATAATCAAATCAAACAATAACACATAATATTTAGATCATACACACTATTATAGATTTTCAAAGACTTTTTACATTAGTTTATCATAATCAAAAGATTTTATATAGGTTTGGTTTAATCAGGAATAAGAATGGATTTTATGGGGGTGTAGATCACCAGGAGTCTTAAGGCGTACACATCGAAAGGCTGGTTTGAGGCTGGAGACTCCGATGATAGCTCTGACTCAAGAGTGTTCTTATCTTAAGTCCCGAGATGTCTATCACCTTGGTATGATAATTCGGGATATAGCGAGCTATCACTTGGATCTCCTTATGCCTGCTTGTCGTGTACATCGTCCTCCAGTGGCTCCTCATCCTCGATAAACTCCATATCATTGGAAGTAGGTGGCCTCGGCATCTGTAACGCCCGCAGATCCGGGCTAGTCAATTTAGAGGCAATAGGGGTCGAGTATGAAAAATCTATAGTATCGTATGATGTAGCCTATTAGAGGCATAGTCTAGGGTGGACTTGAACACCTATGTAATAGTTTGAAGGAATAATAAAAACCTTCGTTTTGATATTTGATGTGTTAAGCTGTTATGTGATTTTTCTTGTATGGTGACTTGGAAAAACTACGGACAATACTTGGGACGAGTATGAGTAGGTGTGAATGGTAATAGAGGCCTATACTATTGGAAGCACAGGACTCACACTTGGATCATAGAAGCTCACAAGGTTACCAAGAAGCTAGTAATTGAGTTCGTTTTATTCTATGTCGTTACCATTGTTTTGGTAATGACTAAGAAAATTGTTGTTATCCCGACCCTAGTGGGCATATCACATTGAGTCCAACTACAATGAGTAGGTTACGTGGCTCAGAGAACCAAGTTCGATGTAGCGTCCGACTTAAACCAAACAATTGAAATCAAAGCGATCAATAGAAGTATCGCGCTCGTTGTTAAAGAAATTGGTAGCTAGAAATGCTACATGTTAAAGTGTGATTATATCACATTAGAACATGAAAGAAGGCATAGTCTGTTTTAGAATTTAACTCTAAGAGACCTGAGTCTAAACGTGTATCACATGATGATAGGTCATAATTTGGAGTCTAACCTGAGGTAGAAAGCAGGTGCACCATCAAGTACTGCTTACAGTCAATAAGTCTAAGAGATAGACTTGAAGGAATAAAGAAGTTATAATTATTACCTAGGATGAAGAGATGACATATGGAGTCATTATACGAGCCCTGTTTCATTGATGATTCTGGGACGTAATCATCCTAAGGGGGAGATAATTGTAATGCCCGCAGATCCGGGCTAGTCAATTTAGAGGCAATAGGGGTCAAAAACATTTTTTTGACAAAATATTATTTAGAATAAATAATCTTAACCAATTTGTAGAATATGTCACAAGGTTTCCGTACATATAAAGAATGCCGAAATCCGAGTTATAATGAAGAAGTTATGACCCGTCGAAGTTTCGCGACGGAACCGGCACGGCATCAGGAAGCGTAAATAGTGAATTTACGATGGAGGACTTTTTAGCCTTAGTGATCTAAATGAAAGTCGTAGAATATGTTAAACCGAGAAAATCCATAAAAAAGAACGCCCAAATTTGACTTCGTATGAAGAAGTTATGATTTTTGTAAGATTCGGCTTAGCAGTGTACAGTCCAAAACTCGAATTTTAGTTTGAGCGGTTTTTGGCTTACGCAACCTAAATGATAGTTGAAGATCTCATTAATAGGAACTCAACGGTAAAAAAGACAGACGAAAACGGAGTCCGTCAGAAGGAGTTATGAATTCTTCACGGTCATTTAACAGTTTAAACGCCTCCTACTATTAAATTTGAGATCGGTCGAGAATTAGCCGACGGAGTCTAAACGAAAGTTGTGAATCTTGATTTTACCTACACGTTGAAAAAAAGAATGTTGAAAATGGAGCTTGTATGCGAGAGTTATGATTTTTCTAAGGTTGAAGGCTGATACGCGATAGGGGTGACGTGGCACCACCAGAAGGCCACCACATGCACCAACTCGGCGAATACGTCCCCCTACTCGGTGAGTCCATCAGATATTTTCACTATAAATAGAGGTGCCGGGTTCACTCATTTCCTCACCCCTCAGCCCTCTTCTTTCTGTCTCTACACTCTCTCTAAGCTCCTTAACCCCCCTAAAAGCCTAGGTAAACCCTCTAGTACCCGAAGGAAGCCCCGAGGCTCCCGGAGTCCCAAGAAAAAGGGTATTTTGGCTCGGAAACGCTGCTCCAGCAAAGCCCGGTTTTTGAGAAAACCCGCTGTAAGTGAGCTACTTCTACCCTATCTTTAGCGTAGCTTATGTTTCGATATAGTAATGTTATTAGGTCTTTAAAATAATTATTTGGGCTATTATTATGAGTTATATTGAGTGTTATTTCACGCTTATATAATAATAATAATAACTAGACTATTAATTTGTCGCGGTTATCGTTAGACTAAACCCTAGTGGTATTGATACTAGGTTTTAACGAAGGAAATTGTTTTGAGAGTATCGAAGCGCTGTCCGAGTGCTGAGTCACTACCTTTCAGGTGAGTGCATATTTACTTTCATCTTACACATAGATAAGAAGTATTTTATATAAATTACGTGCTATGTGGCGAGTATCAGACTCCTACAAGACTTAGTTGTGTGGACCTTCTTACTGCAATTATTACATATTAGCTCTCTACATGCACTTATGTGATGGTAGTTGCACTTATTGCATAATGGGAGATCCACTGCACACTACCTTAAAGGTGTGGGTAACGAAATGTTTGCTACAAAGACTTTCCCCAAGTCTTGTTTCTTCCATGCTACTTGCTCTAAATTTTCATCTGGATTTCTTTTGATATTTTCTGATCCTATGAGATCAGTATTTAGAACCATGGTGCCGTGGCAGATTACCTGACTGGTCAAGGTAAAGGTCAGTCTCTTGGCACTATCGTCAATAGTTGGCATGTAAGCCGTAGCCAATCCTTGGATAGGCTGAACTAAACCCCATATGTACTCTCTATCTTCTTCTCCTCTGGGGTAACCATCCCATGAAACAAGGTGGATAGGTAATTTAAACAACTTGTATATGTGGCAATATTCGCTTCCTGCATCATTAGATTCCACAGATCCTGCTCCATTTTCTACACCTCCTCGCATGGACGCTATTCTGTAATCATGAGTTGCTTCAAGTCATCCTAAGACATGGAGTTAACTATGTTTACACCCATGGTCTTGGTGTAAATGTTCCACCAGCTCAAGGTTGTTATGTCAGGGTGAGGTAGCGAACTTGACTTTACAGTCCTTTGGGCAGAAACTAATCTCAAAGTCTGATTCCATCTTCTCTATCCACCTAGTCAGCCTAACAATATACTCATTTTCATAGAAGGGTTTTGTCTTAGAGTTCAAAAAATCCTTATATGAACAGACTACAGTGGAAAATCGATTATCTCCTAGCGGAATCTTGCCTCCATTTCCTCCTGATCCTACATTCCTAGGGGTTTCTAGACTCGCTATGACATCAACTACATGTTGGGCGATCAATGCCTCAATCGCGGCTAAGCTGATTTGCTCAGGATTTTTTTCAGGTGTTCCTGGCTTACGTCTAGTACGAGGCATGATTCTAAATTTAACATAAGAGTTATTTGTTATTTTATCTTGCTAAGTTAGAAGGGTTAACTTATTTAAAACAATAAAATCAAACAATAACACATAATATTTAGATCATACACACTATTATAGATTTTCAAAAACTTTTTACATCAGTTTATCATAACCAAAAGATTTTATACACGTTTAGTTTAATCACGAATAAGAATGGATTTTATGGGGGTGTAGATCACTAGGGGTCTTAAGGCGTACACATCAAAAGGCTGGTTTGAGGCTGGAGACTCCGATGATAGCTCTGACTCAAGAGTGTTCTTATCTTAAGTCCCGAGATGTCTATCACCTCGGTATATAAATTCGGGATATAGCGAGCTATCACTTGGATCTCCTTATGCATGCTTGTCGTGTACATCATCCTCCAGTGGCTCCTCATCCTCGATAAACTCCATATCATTGGAAGTAGGTGGCCTCGACATCTGTAACGTCCATAGATCCGATCTAGTCAATTTGGATGCAATAGGGGTCAAGTATGAAGAATCTATAGTATTGTATGATGTAGCCTATTAGAGGCATAGTCTAGGGTGGACTTGAAAACCAATGTAATAGTTTCAAGGAATAATAAAAACCTTCGTTTTGATATTTGATGTGTTAAGCTGTTATGTGATTTTTCTTGTATGGTGACTTGGAAAAACTACGGACAATACTTGGGACGAGTATGAGTAGGTGTGAATGGTAGTAGAGGCCTATACTATCGGAAGCACAGGACTCACACTTGGATCATGGAAACTCACAAGGTTACCAAGAAGCTAGTAATTGAGTTCGTTTTATTCAAGTATGTCGTTACCATTGTTTTGGTAATGACTAAGAAAATTGTTGTTATCCCGACCCTAGTGGGCATATCACATTGAGTCCAACTACAATGAGTAGGTTACGTGGCTCAGAGAACCAAGTTCGATGTAGCGTCCGACTTAAACCAAACAATTGAAATCAAAGCGATCAATAGAAGTATCGCGCTCGTTGTTAAAGAAATTGGTAGCTAGAAATGCTACATGTTAAAGTGTGATTATATCACATTAGAACATGAAAGAAGGCATAGTCTGTTTTAGAATTTAACTCTAAGAGACCTGAGTCTAAACGTGTATCACATGATGATAGGTCATAATTTGGAGTCTAACCTGAGGTAGAAAGCAGGTGCACCATCAAGTACTGCTTACAGTCAATAAGTCTAAGAGATAGACTTGAAGGAATAAAGAAGTTATAATTATTACCTAGGATGAAGAGATGACATATGGAGTCATTATACGAGCCCTGTTTCATTGATGATTCTGGGACGTAATCATC